ACCTAGTCTCCTCCAGTGTGCCTTAACCCAAATCAATGTTTAACCAGAACTTTGACTTCGCAAATAGGTTTTTTGCTCCTGGGCCAAGAACAAAAGGTAGAGAACATGTGCAGGTTATGACAAGATCTTCAGCCCCACGGTGTGAGACGCCGGGAATCTTCAGCCCCATGGTGTGAGGCACAGGGGGTTCTTTAGCCCCATGGTGGGGGCCAGTCATCATGCTGGGGAGCAGATGCCCCCGCACCTCTCACACACACCATACACATTAGATACACATGAGAGAAAATGTCGGTAAGCAAGATTTTTTATCGGGCCTCCACGGAGGCGTAGGCAGTTGAGCGCAGCGCTGTGAAGTTGTCTGCAGCCTCTGCAGCGCTGGTTTGATCCCTGGCCGCCGGCGAGGGTCCCACATGGCGAGGGTCCCACATGGCGACAGACCTCTCCTGTCTCGCCAGCTGCTCCCCTCAGCAGTGTATTTCATCAGTCTGCCTGTTCTGTTCCCCGCTCTGTCTCTGGTGTATCCTCTCACCCTCCTGCACATCTGGACTGTACTCCAGTTCTTGTATAAATAAATAAATAAATCTTAAAAAGAAGTTATGAATAGAAAGATTTTTATAGCCACCTATAAATGATTGTTTATTGTATATTTTATTCTGCATTTTCCAATCTTCCATTAGTAAGCACACATTACTTAAAAAAAAAAAAAAAAAGTTAAGAACAAAGTCCAAATTCTGGTTCCTGTGTTTTCTTTTTCTTAAACACCCAGTTCAGTCACAGTGACTGGGACCCGGGGAAGAAAAGACACATGGAATTTCCCCTTAGGATAGTTCCAACTATGGCCCTTTTCAGGCCCTAAGAGACACCGGGGCTGCTTCCTCCTAAGTAATTATTCTTATTAAGGCAGGGGGAAAGGCGGACAGCACAACAGGCGAGCAGAGGGTGTATGCCTCTGCCACACATAAAACCATGGTTACTTCCAAAGGGAACTTCTACTTCCTCTCCTGCTAGCACAGGTGGGGTGGGTTGGACTCAACTAGCAGTGGTGGTGTCCACTGCCCTTCTTTCAAGGACACTCTGGATGGGAACCCATCTCTTTTCCTTACGTTGTGTTCATTTCTCTCTGTTCCCCTTCTCTTCAATTTTACTTCACAAGGTCAGAGTGAAGAGAATTGCATTGAAATATGCAGAACATCCCCAGCCTTTCAGAGGGTGGATGGAATCAGACTAGAAATAAATAAATATCTCAGTTAATGTCTTTCCTCCTTCTGCTTGGTATACATGTCATCCAACAAGACACAATTAATTCGAGTCATTCTTTTCTTCCAAACACTGATGAAAGAAAATTTGCCTATAGAAGTTCTGTGAACAGCAAAAGCTGAGGGACCAGCATTTCTCTTCAACATTTTTTAGATGGTCTATTTTGTAAGCTTGGTTTTAGATCTGGACTATGACATTGTGTTTTGTGCCAGGATATTTTCTTTCCTTAGGTTTATTTATTTCTTGAATAATCAAGAGAATGGCATTTTCCATGATTCAGTTTTATTCAATACCTAAAAAAATGCTTATGTGTTTATATTAATAAACGTAAACATAAATATAAATAAATCTGGGAACAAATTTGTCACCGAACCAAAATTTGGAATTATCTTTGGGAGCCAAACAGGTTTTGATTTTAAAGAAGAGTTGATTTTTAGAAGTGTTTTCAGTTAAACGAAATTATAGTCATTAAACCGATGAATAAACTCTACCTATGTAAGCAATATAAATTCATTTGTCATTACTTGTAAGCATAAAGCTTATGTCAACATACAGGATAGGACATGATTTGAAACTGTCTTGTTTTTCCATTTATCTATCATTGGAAAAATTTCCTTTAAAATATAAACCAACAGTAAAGGAAATAGAAAAAAACAACAGTAAAGGAAACAGAAAAAACCCCACAGGACAATGTTTATAAAAAGAACAAAGGTCAATACATGACTCTAGTCTCTTTTTATTTACTTTGTTGATTATTTAGCTTAGTTAATGAAAAAAATGATTAGTTTGATTCTTTCAACATTTATTTATTCAACAAACCATGGACTCTGGAGATGAGCGAATAGGGCTAGAATCCCGACTCTTTCTCCGAATAATTGTACAACCTTGGGCAAGTTTTTTTTTTTAATTAAAAAATTATTTATTTATACATATAAAAACTGGAGTATAGGCCAGAGTTGCAGGGTAGGAGGTGAGAGGATCACTAGAGTCATAGTGGGGAACAGAACAGGCAGATATACCGAAATACATTGCTGAGGGGAGCAGTGGGGAGACAGGAGAGGTCTGCTGCGCCGTGTGGATTAGCTCCCTGGCCAAGGAGCGAACTCTGTCTGCAGTGGCTGAGGATAGCTTCATAGTGCTGAGACTTAACTCCTTGCGCCACCAGGGAGGCCCTGGGCAATTTATTTATTCAAGTTCTTTATGAATAAAACCTGTACTTACAGAGTTGATGGGAGAGTTAACTAGGCAAATCAACACAAAAAGCTGATAACAATCCATTGCAGAGTTAATGTTGAATAAATTCTAGGTGGGCAGGAGTACAACAGAGAGCATGGTCCCTGCCCTTGTGGAGTTTAAACTCTAGTGGCAGTGTGGATGGAGTGGATAGCAAAAACATCATATAAATCACACAGTTAATAGTGTCTCTACTATTATGTTTAGCGTAGTGAAGAAAAAAATAAAGGGCATTAAAGACAAATTTGTGGGTTACTTTTCCAAAGAACTTGAAAATTAAACTTTTATCACTGAAGTCTTTAATATCACACTTTGTAAAATCAAGAACATCTGAAATGTCTACATCATATGACCACCCATCATATGTCGTTTTATTGAAAAAAAAAATCAAACGTAAAATTTGAGAGCTTTGAAGATGATGGCATATTTGTATCTATCATGTTATTTACAGATAAACCCTAGCAACTGAAAGGGAGTTGGGGGGCACTCAATCCATTTGATTATAACAACAAACTAGTCAATAACTTACTAAATATCTTACTTTTTAACTCCTTAGTAAATATTTTACTTTTTAACATAGCTCTTTGAAGACATGGAATGTTTCAAAATTCTTCATCTGGGGCCAAAATTTGGGGAAGTACATTACTACAGTTTTTAAAGAAACCAACTTGTTACCTTTCCAATGCACACCAGAGCTGAATACCTCTTCCCAAGTACATGCCTATCTAAGTTAAGCTGTTTTTGACTAGTAAGGCAGGAAATCACACCATCTTAAGTAATTAGGGCAAAAGCCTAGAAAGTGATAATTCATGAGAAAGTTAAGAAAGTGTTAAGAGAGAAAAAGAAGAGGAGTTATAAGAGCTTTTAAGTACCAGCCAGTGTTTAAACTGTATTACTCCACTAATACTCCGTGAGGTAGGCACTATTATTACATTGATTTTATGTAGGAAAATACCGAGGCATGAGAGGCTAACTAATTTGCTTAAGATCTCACAGCTAGGAAGTGGTGGAGTCAGCAGAGGAGCATAATCACTTGTTCTGCCTTCTCCTGAGATAAATAATGTGGGTAGAGATAGAAAGGAAAGAAAAATTGTGTTCTTGCTTCTGGAAAATACAGGAAAGGGAAGAATTAGAGCTCAGACATCCAGAGGGAATGCAGTGAGTTAGGACAGAGAGAGGTGGAACAAACAGCAGAAATGGGGGTTTAGCTAGGGAACAGAGAGATTTCAGGAACCATGGATATATACCCCACATAGGATATTCTGATACACAATCATGCCAAAATGCAAAATATACAACTTTTTTTTTATAAGGATATGTATATATGTGTATCTATGTATACACACACAAACACACACACACACACACACACACACACACATATATATATATAAATCCTGACCCCATAATATATGTGTGTATATTGACTCCAACTCACCCATTCCCCAAAAAACCTTCACTCTCTGTGCATCAGTAATAGGAAAGGCTCACTGAAGGTTAGTGCAAAAGTTGTCTGTTTTATTTAGTTCTTGGTAATAAAATGGCCCTGTGGTACTATCAACATATCATGTACTCAGAAACAGAATCTGTTGAATAGTAAGGTATCTTCTTAGATATCTGGTAGGGTCTTCCTCTGAGAAAGGCAGGATAACAGTGATTCAGGGTCCAGGCTCTGAAATCAGAAGCCCAAGTTCTGACATTTAGCTAGCTTTTAAGTTTTAGGCAAGTTTCTTCACCTCTCTTAAGCTTCAGATTCTTTGCATTAAAGATGGAATATAACAAAACATTCATCAAAGGATTGCTGTGAAGATTAAATTAAATAACCTGGCAACCATCTGGCAGTGCCTAGTACCCAGCAGATACTCAAAATATGGGACTCTCTTCCTTGGATTTTACATTATTAAGACCACTAAGAACTTGCCAATGTTTCTTTCATTTTTTTTAAGGCACATTTTTCTGTGCATATCATTCGTGATAAAGAAAAAAAGAGTAACATTTGAGACTAAAATTAATGCTTATACTTAATTGCAGAATCAGTGCTTGCATTTATTTATTCCAAACTCCACCCATCCTTGTCGCAATATTTACATTAGGGTATGCCAAAGCTTCACATTGCACATAGGAATTCAACCCAGGAGTTCTGACTTTTAGAGAGCTGAGACATATTTACAGACGCCAAAGCCCAGCTCAGCAGGGGTTAAGCGTTTCCTCAGTACAAATGGCCACTAACCGCAGCGTGCCAAGGGGGCCAGAGGGATGCAGATAACTAGGGGCCCAAGTCAGGTCCCCAGAGGTGGGGCCTCGTTCTGGGTCCTTCGATTAAGGGGTGTGGAGCGGGGAGGCGGGGCACGCCAAGCCAATCCCAGACGCTCCCAGCCCAGGGCCCCCCTCCCTCCGGAGTCCTTGCTCCTCGCCCCCCTACCCCTCCCCTCCTTGGCGTCGCCGCGCCTCCAGGCGGCCAATCAGAAGGCGCCTCCCGAGGGGGCGGGGCGGGGCGGGGCCGGCCGGGTCGGCGTCGCCTACTTTAGCCGCAGGGCGGTAGTTCTGGTCGCCTGTAAAGGGTGAGACGCGTGCGTGGAGGTCGCCGGCGACGTTCTGTGACGCCGATCGGACACGACACCATGGCGGACTCCCGGGACCCGGCCAGCGACCAGATGAAGAACTGGAAGGAGCAGCGGGCCTCGCAGGTGCACCCCGCGCGCTCGGGGCCCGCCCGAGGGTCACGCACGAAGCCTGGGTGTCCGCGATAACGGCCCTGGATTTTGGGGCGCTTTGGGAGTGGGGGTGGGGGGGCTGTACCACCGATCGCGGGCGGCGGGGGGAGGTGCAGATGGACGGTTTCATTCCCGGGGAGGCGGGGAGAGGTTGCTGGGCCTGCGGGACTTGTCAGTGGCGGGGCGCGCGTGTTTGGCTCTGAAATTTGCACTTTTGCCAGCTAGGGCAGAGGTCACAGTTTTAGGGGCGTAATGAAGGCGAGTGGGGGAAAGAAGCAGAGAGCTGCAGCTGCAAGGAAAGAAGTTTGGGGGAAGTGAGAACAGCTCTAGCTTTAACCTTGTTGTTCGAACAATAACTGCAAGTTTTAGTATTTGCTCGTGCCGTGGGGGCAGGGACAGTGTTTTACCATCTCGATGTGCCCAGCAGTTGTGGCGGTGACTACTACTTAGTACGCACAGCATGACACGAGTGGACAAAATAATGTTTGTAGCCACTATTTCTTTGCACTAAAAAACGTCAAGTCTGGCATATTAGAGCTGGAAGCTACATTAGGGGGTGGTTGGTGCATTTCTTCAAGCAAAATAATGTTGGTCGCCACTATTTCTTTGCACTTAAAAACGTCAAGTCTGGCATGTTAGAGCTGGAAGCTACATTAGGGGTTGGTTGGTGCATTTCTTCACGCTTTGTATTTGAGAACCTGCATGTGATGGGTCCCGTGCTGGGACAGGTGTATAATAAGTTCTAATGATGTCCAAACTACGTTGAGAAGCTCAAGGTCTGGTTTTGTAGACTTGACTACGGTAATCAACAGTTGATTACCATCACTGTGTTGAGGACTCTTTTTTTTTTTTTTAAAAGATTTATTTATTTATGCATACAAGAGTTGGGGTACAGGCCAGAGATGCAGGGGGTGAGGCAGAGCAGGGAACAGAACAGGCAGACTGACTCTTAATACAGATTATCTGTAAGGTGTAAAGGGAGTCCCTGACTTGGCTTACAGGCTCCCCAAAGCGGTGACATCTGAGCAAGGGCTTTACTGATGAGTAGGATTTAGCCCACCGGCAGTGGGTGAAGCATTTCAGTCCTGTCCCCAGGGGTGAAGAAACTTAACGGGCATCCTAAGGTAGTTGAATTAGAAGAGAAAGCGTCTAGTCAGAGTGTTCTTGCCTCAAATTGGCCTAGAGGGTGTAAGGGACTAGCCCAGTTCCCATAGCTGCTGGTAAATAGCAGAGAGAGACTAGGGCTGTGCTTTTCCTCATTCTGCCCAGTGCTCTTGCTTAAAACCATAGTGTTCATGAGAGAGGGTGTTAATAGTCAGTGTCCATGGATTCCATTCTCCTCTAGGGACTTGGAAAATCTCTCATTCTGTCCTTTGTGATATGTTTCTTGGGTAGTTCGGTGTCTTTTTTTTTTTTTTTGTGAGTTGTAGAGTCTTATTAAGCAAGGCATGCAGTTTAGTGGCAGAGTCAAGATTAGAACTCAGCTTTTGGAATCCAGGCTCTCCAGACTGAGTTATTGCTAAGTCCTGACTCACACTGAAGTTTTCTTGAGTAGTCGGTGAATTGGGAAAAATCTGGATAGTTTTTCATGTAACAAAACTTACTGATTTTTAAAGGACTCCTCTTTATTCGAAGACTAGCTGACTTCTTCATTGTTTGAGGGAATCATTAACTGTTGTTAAATCATTAAGATTCTGCTGTTAATTTACTGAACCTACTTGTTCATTTGAGAAACAGTGCACTCACAAAGCACATCTATAATAGTTGAAATACTGCTCTCCCCTCTGTCTGTGGTGTCTCTGCACTGTGTAAATCGTCCTTCTTTGAGTCACATTGATGTCTTGTTCCTCATCCTTAGCAGCTCTGAGTGTAAACTGCTTATTTCTTTGAGGTCATGCCTCTTCCCAAGACCCTCCCAAAGGAATTTTGCATGTGTCACAGTCTATATAATTTTCCAATTTTTTATTATAAATAATTTCAAACATACAGAAGAGTTGAAAGAATTGTGTGCAGTGTATACGCATAGACCCACCATGTAGATTCTACAGTGAACATCTTACTATATATACTTTATCATATGTTAATTTCATTTGTCTTTTTGTACAGTCATGAACCCCTTTTTGTGGGGGCTGATTTCAGAGTAAGTTAATAGGCTTTGCCCCTGACACTAAGCATACAAATGAACAGAGTTCAATGTTTATGTATGGTTTCAAGGTAATTTTATACAGTACGAAATGCAAAGATGTTAAATGTTCTACTCTGTAACATTTTAATGAATATATATACCTGTGAATCCCATTATCTTATCAAGATATAGAAGAATGACATCACCCTGGCTAGTCCTACTCATTTCCTGTAATCCCTGCGATCTTGCTCTGGGTTGATTTTTTTTTTTTAAGATTTATTTATTTATGCATACTAGAACTGGGGTATAGGCCAGAGATGCGGGTCGGTGAGAGGATTCATCAGAGATGGAGTGGGGAGCAGAACAGGCGGATATACTGAAATACACTGCTGAGGGGAGCAGCGGACGAGACAGGAGAGGTCTGCTGCGCCATGTGGGTTGCTCCCTGGCTGGGATCGAACTCGTGCTGCAGAGGCTGTGGATTGCTTCATAGTGTGGTGCTTAACCCCTTGCGCCACCAGAGAGGCCTCAGGGTTAATTTTTTTTTAAACCATCAATTTATGTACCTTTTTTTGTGTAGCTCCTCTTTAGCAAGAATGTTTTAAGATTAAAAAAAGGAAAGATGCTTTAAGATTCATTCAGGTTGGATACATCAGTGGTTTGTTCTTTTTATTACTGAGTGGTTTTCCATTGTATGAATAGGTATTTATCTATTTGTTTTGTTGCTGGACACCTGGGCTAGTTCCAGAGTTTGGCTACTATTAATAAAGCTGCTCTGAAAAGTCCTACACATCTTTTTATGCATATATGATTCTGTTTCTCTTAGGAAATACCGAGGAGTAAGAATTGCTGGGTCATAGGGTGTGTGACTTATGAGAAATTGCTAATACCTTTCCAAAGTGGTTGTACCATTTTATAATCCATTAACATTATACAAGAGTTTGCTTTGTCACCTCCTGCCAACTTTTGGTGTTACTGGTCTTTAAATTTTACCTGTTCTGTGGGTGTGAACTGGTGTCTTACTGTACTTTTAATTCATTGGCTCTGTACACCTGTGATGCGGAGTATCTCTTCATATGCTTATAGCCCATTGGTATGTTTCCTTTGATAGATCCATTCAAATCTTTATCCTTTAAAAAATTTGATTGCTGGTCTTTTGATTCATAACCGATATTTTGGATTAAATCATATGTGGCTATGTACTGTGATACAAGATCCCCAAATAGATGATGGTGTAAACATATTAGAAATATATGTCTCTCTCTTACCTTGTGGGCCAGAGTGGTTTGAATTTAAAGGGGGGAATGAGTATTTTGCTCCCCATAGTTATTGAGGGCTCCAGGCTGAGGCTCCAGGCTGATGGAGGCTCTCCCTTTTTCAATATTTGACTTGGGTGTCACTGTTCTGTCACAGAAGGTAAAGAAGACGGAGGGGCATATTGAGAATTGCTGGAATTGATGTAGGTCACTCTTGTTCCACTGTCTGGAAATCTGTCTCACGACCACACCAAACAGTGAGGAAACTTGGGAAATATAGTCTGCGCTGTGTCTAGGAGCTGACCCTACTGCATTAGTCACACCATACATTGCATATTTGGTGAAAGTTGAGCCACCTATTTACATGTGGTATAGAAATGAATCAGTGACATGATTTTTTTTTTTAAAAAAAACTTTACATTCCTTTAACCCTCTGACATTAAAAGCTCTTTCTGCTAGAAAATTATGACAGTAACAGCAGTAATGGGATTTCTTAAAAAAATGTTATCTTCCCTTACTTGGCAAATGCTTTTATATATGAGGTCAGCTCTTTGCCACTGCTCTCCTCCCTGTGCAATTGGTTTTTATTTTGTGCTTGACAGTGAGAGCTTTATCTTTTGGAACCACCATGAGGTCCCCCAGTTGTCACCTCCCTCAAGAAGCAGAGGCAGAATGCCGAGCTGGGTGTATCCTCTTTTGGAGCCAGATTGCCAGCCAAGGCAAAGGCAATTTTATTGGGTGATTTCTTCTTGTGGGAAGATTTTGTTGCTGACAAGTGAATTGGGAGTTTTATAATCTTCAAAAGTGAGCATTGAATCAAATTTATTCAGAGGTAGGACTTGGTTTCTTGATTTCTTAAAAATCTTGATTTCTCGGGGCCTCCCCCCGGTGGCGCAATGGTTGAGCACTGGGTTGCAAAGCTGCCCGCAGCCTCTGCGGCGCCGGTTCGATCCCCAGCTGCTCCCCCGCCGTGGGAGGAGGGTCCCACATGGCGCGCAGACCTCTCCTGCTGCCCGCTGCTCCCCTCAGCAGTGTACTTCGGTCCTTCTGCCTGCTCTGCTCCCTGCTCTGGTTCTGGTGAATTCTCTCACCCTCCCGCGCTTCTGACTGTACCCAGTGCTTGTGTAAATAAATAAATAAATCTTAAAAAAAAAAAGAAGGAAAAAAAAAGAGAAAAGTTAAAAAAAAAATCTTGATTTCTCTTTCTCTCAAAATGCATTGAGAGGAGAGAGTTTGGTTTTCAGGAATTTCTGCTCACTCCGAATGGAACTTCATGGGGACTTCATTGCTTATTGCTTTGAATGCCTGGGCTCTTCCGTCGAGATACTTAGGCTCACCTGGTAGCTGCTCATTCCATAAAAACCGGAGAATTTAAAGATTTCAAGTCTTACTTTTTAGATGGTTTCCTTATTGCTTAGGAGAGAGGTTGGCCTTACTCAGTGTCATAAGACAGAGCCTCTCAGGGTCTAAGAAGCTATGTACTTTTTAGGGTAACTTGATAACGAGGGGGAGGGAGGGAACGAGGGAGAGAGACAGAGAGCAAGAGAGAGAAACAGACCTTTTGGGAAGTGGAATAAAAAATTTAATGTTCA